CATTCACTGTTTGAGGCTATAGAATAGGACAGCGATTTTTAAGTGATAAGTCTAGAAAAACTTTCAAACACACGTGATTTATTATGTGCTGGGTAACATTATAATATTTTTGTTCACCTAATTTCATTTATTTAATTTACAAACTAAAGTTAATGTGACTATCTTTCAACCCCACCAAGAATTAAGTAATTTTCTGTAATTTTCAGAAGCACTGTTTTAATATTCCAGTTTTTATTGAGAGGTCACATTGGAGTAGTTTGGCCATAAATGCTGAAAAAAAAAATGAGATGCAACTTATGGCTTATAACTAAAACTAAAGGAGATTTTACTGTTCCGTTACAGAATTATTTTGTCAAAATTTGTAATTGTTAGATTAACTATTCACGATGGTACATAATGATCTAACAGTTACAAATTCCGACGGAATGATTCTATAACGGAACTGTAACATTTCCCTATAACTTACACGAGTTAATAACTTGGCCTTTGCCTTTTATTATGTACCACATATTTTAAGTGTGAAGTATAATTGTGACATGATATAAGATTTTTTCAAAATAAAAAATAAATGACAGATAATAATTTATAATTAGAAATATGTACTTGGTTGTGAATATTATTTTTTTTTTTACTGAAATATATAATCACAAATTATTTTAGTTATTTAACTAATTGTGTTAGCAAGATTGTAGTGTTGAAAATCTGAATGAGATGAAGGTGAAATAATTTAGTTTTAATTCACTTCTATAAATATAGATTGGGGAAGGGAGAAAAAAAAACTAATAATAAATATTGCATATCCGATCCTGGTCTTTTTTTTTTTTAGTACAGGGACCTTCCGGTTTTCGAATTCACAGGGGAACCGACTAATCCGGAATCGAGCCGGGTAGGACCACAAGGACGGCAAGGCTCTCCCTCAAAAGTTTTTAACACTGCTGCATTCTCAGTGCTCGAACACGAGACCACTGGTTAAGCTGGAAGAGACCCAAGCCATCTCATCCAAACGCTCTTGGATATATCCAATCCTGGTCTTAACAATTAATTTCTGCAATAATTTCCAAAAAAGCCTCCAAATTATGAACTAATTTCAATGGAACCATGAAGATTGTGGTATTTAATTTTTGTCCTGCATTTAAAGTGGTCAACGCTTATTTCTTCCTTTTTGCTACCAAAGGGAGAAATGTATGATCTATGAAAGCAGCCTCGAGCTAGGGAACTTTTGTAATTTCATGATTCTTATGGGGTTTGTTTTACAATAGCCCAAACCACAAGGATTTTGCCATTAAATAGGAGTATAGAAATTTTTTAGAGTATTTATTTAATTGATGTAGAGACAAATGAAGCTGTACTTTCACAAATACAAGATTCTTTAGTTTTAATATCTGGAATCAACAATTGTACATAATTTATTCTCTATTCTAAAATGAATGTCAACTTTATCTTATGAATAATTTATCATATTTATTTTGCTTATCTACTTTCAATATATTATAAATTCGGGAAATGTTACGGTTTCGTTACAGTATCATCCAGTCTGATGTTTTAACCGTTCGATTATCTATCTTATCTAACTATATGTGGATTCAACGGTTAAAATACCCAACGGGATGATACCGGAGACTATAGATTCCCTAAATTCTACCATTTACACAAGTCACATATTATGCTATCTTAGATTGTTGTTAGATTGCCTAATTAATTTGTCTTTATTTTTATTAAACAATTCAGAATAAATCTTAAAGATACGATCCGAATTTCTCGAGCAGTTAATTTCCTTTAATAAGCACTAATAAAAAGTTAAATAAAATATTTGTTAAAAAATAAAAAAAAATAAAAAAAAAAATAAATAAAAATCTGCAGATAAACTGCTTAAAAATTAAACCAAGCTGATGTAGGCCACGTTGGTACACAATTCGCGATCCGCCATACACGTGTCCCGCCAAGGCAAGTCATCGTCAAAAACGGTACGCAATCCCCATGCAGAAATGGGCCCAATGGGCCCTGCCGGGAAGTCCGTTGATAGCGACAGGACCTGCAACGTGGCGGACGGCCTACGGTATTATGAAAGGGCCGGGCCCACATAACCGAATCACTCGTTTTCTCGGATTTTAATGCAGCGTGTGTGTGGTGTGGATAAGAGGGCTCAATATCTTGGGGGCCCAAAGCTTTTTATGGACTACCGACACTATGGAAATTGGGCTGTCGTTGGATAATGTAGCTCCACTCTGGGTCTAGTCTACCGAAATTGAAGGTTTTGATGATTAGGAAATATAGTAAATATTTATTGGTAGTTGGTTACTTGGTAAATTTTACAGAAAATTTTGTAACCATTATTATTTTTATTTTGTATCTTATATAAGAAAAGTGAAAAAAAAAAAAGAAAATCGAACGAATGAGTTGTATGTATATCGGTGAATTTGTCCTTTGTTCATGTTTAAACGAGGCAGCTAATGGTCAACTTTTTTTGTGAAAGCGTGTATATTACAGACTGACAGTTGTTCTGTTAGACGGTCTAATCAAATAGGCTAACGTGTTTTATATTCACTAAATATAATATGACGAGTGGTCAACTTTCACTATGAATGTATGTATAGACGACAATTGTTCTGTTAGGCCGTGTATTCAAATAAGTTAACGTGTTTTACTCACAGAGTAGAGTGAGTCGAACAGCCTGACGAATAGAAAATTTTGACCCAAGAAAGAATTTGTAACGGATAGAAGGTACATTCTTCTTAAATCTCTAAAAGTTGTTTGCGAGGTGCCTTTCTTTTTGAACAACATTTAACATGTGAAAAAATTCATATTTATATATGGCATTTTTATTAATTTTGTTTGTATGATGTGCAAGTGTATATATTTTTATATTCTATAGTCTATGCAATATATCGGTGATTTAAAGAAATAAAAACTAAAGTATAATTAGAAATAGATACAATTTCTTTTTATATTCAAGATGAGAAATACAATAGCGTCTCAATATCAAAAACAAGTATGAAATCACTAAATTAATCTCTATTCATAGGCACAACACAGGCTTAATAACATAACAAATTTTATAAGTGTTCATAATTATCATTAAAAAAAATAAGTCTAACCAGTACTAATTAAAATCGGTTCTGATTCTTTTTTCTATTAATCTAGCCGACGTAGCTAGCCCAGTAAACTAGACAACCTTAAGCCCATCTGTCTAATTCGAAAATCTCCTTTTGGGTCGTCTCAGGCCCATTTGCATTTGGCACAAATTACTCAGAGCAGCCCAAACCCCATTTCCATCTATGATATTTTTCTGTCATTAAAAGAAAAAAAAAAAAAAAAACAAAAGAACTGATATTTGATAAAATTTTAACAATTCATTAATGATTAAAAACAAATAAGTGTATATGTAGAAAACAAAAATAATAAAAAATTCTTATCAATACAATAAACTTCAAGCTATCTACATTATGTATATTTTCTTAAGCATATGATGCATAGAATATATTATTTCTATTTGTCCTAGATACATAAAATTAAAGTACTCGTAACATTTATTTTTGCAAATTGGTAAAACCAATAAAGTAAATAATAATTTATCGAATAATATAAATTTAAGAAAAAAAAAAAAGCTTCATAAACTTTGAAATAGTATTAAGATGTAAATATTAATCAAATACTAAATTACTGTATACATTGAAACACAACATAAATTTTTGTATCACAAACTCATGCAGAGTCCATTAAGGCCTCATTTACTAGGGTTGACTGGATATGAAGGGATAAGATTAATAGTCTATTGAGTCAGCATTTCTTATTTTATTTTGAATCTCATCCTATGTTTACTAACCTAATTTACAAGATAAGATAAATTATGGAATGCCAATTATACCCTCCTTTTCATTCCACAAAATCGGATGATTTCTTCAACAAATTCTACCATGCCCCTTTGTTGCCCAAAACACAGGCGAAAAAAAATTAATCCAAAGAAAAAAAATTGTGATAAAACATGAACTCCAAATTGTTTAAAACAGAAATTAGTGTTCAAATTGTTGTAGCAAAAGAGGCAAAATCGAGATGTAATTACAAACAAAGCACACAAGCCCGACGGTGGAAGCTTGCGAGAGCTCGTTTCTTCTCCTGTGTAATAGTGATTTGTCAAATGGACGCAATAATTGAAAATTAACTAGGGTTCACAAGTAATTGAAGGATTTAATGCAAGAAAAAGAACAAAACAACTATTTACGGAGGAGACGCGTGCTCGGTGGAGACGGGATTAGGGTTTGTCGCAGCTTAAGGTGAAGAACGAACAAGAAGAATGGCAACATACGTTTATATATTATTAAATCTGTAAATTACTTGACATTTGAGGGGAAAATTGTATTTTCATCTGTGATTTTTTGCACAAAAGGGTCAATTAACACGAGGGATAAAAATATCAGGGGGTGTTGGGCGGATGGAATTATCCGCACATTAGGAGCCACGAGTGCACAAGAGACCTGCCATGTCAGCGAAATCGTATCCCAAACATGCTTAGTAAACAAATGATTAGGTTGGTTAAGCTAGTTATCTAATCCTGTCAAGGCTAGTAAACGTGGCCTAAGTAAGTACACAAGTTCATGATTAGGATAGTGGGCAGCTCGGGCCAGGCCCAAACCCGGCCCAGCCCAGCCCCGGAATAGGAGGCCTGATTTGATCCATATCTGGATATTAAGCCCTTTTTTACATCAGCACAATGCTTCATGTAAAATGAACATTTTAGCAGAAACATTTCAATCTTTCTTAAGAGATTTCACATTCTGCAGCCATGCAAGAGCACACATTTTTCACATGATCAAACAATAAGCGAACTTGCAGCCATTCAAAATTCGAACATACGTCTAACCTGCACAAACTCGATTAAATTCCAATAACCTCGACCCAAAATCTATAAATTCCACATTTTTTCCCCGAACCTCAAGTCAATTTGGTGCATTAAACGACTTTTTCAGACCTCGAACGACACTCCACATGAACGTGGATATGATAAACAAAATCACGCCAACTAAAACAGCGTATTTGAGCCCAAGGTTAACGAGCAAGTTTACCAGAAGCCCAGCTAAAACGACCCCAACAAAATTAGCCCAAAAACCGGCCCAGAATGGCATATCCAATATGGAGGCAATAATGGCCCCAGTCCAAGCCCCTGTCCCGGGAAAAGGGACTGCCACGAATAGCATCAGGCCAAGCCATTGAAACTCCTCAACGGGCCCTGCTTTCTCTTTCGCGCTGTTGAACAGAATATCCAAAAAACGGGAGGCGATCTTACTTTTTCCAGTGATGAAAATCGAGAATTTCTTCAGGTATAGCATGATAAAGGGCACCGGGACCATATTCCTGAGACAAATTCAAGAAATTAAAGAACCGGTTACTTTTAGCCGAGCTAACTATGTGACATTGGTGAAAAACAATCATTCTTGCTTAGCGAGTTTCACTATATACAGGTCTCACATTAGACCTATTAGAAAAAGATGAAGCAAGTATGAATGTGAGGTAAATGAAGGGGGTATGAAATATTGGTGAAACTTCACACTCACTGAATGCTTTCCAACAAAACGAAAGTTGAAATACATTTGCTCGTCCAGTATTAACTCGTTAAATCCGACAACAGTTAATCGAAAACACCAAATAATGGTTCCTACAGTTAATCGGAAACACCAAACTGCACACTTCCGGTTTTCAGAACAATGGTTCCTACACACCACATTGGTAATACAATGTAAGTATGTAACGATAATTTGAAAAGTGCCCATAATGCAAAATCAAGTGACCGACAAATCGACATTGGCTTATAACTGAACCAAACACACAACAGTGATTGATTTCTTAAATTTCAAAAAGTTTCACAATTGTAACTTTGAGCAGAGTACAGACTATAGACTGCGAGAGTAACCCAAGAATCGACAAAATCGTCCATTTTCAGCAATTAACTTTGGGTTATAACTGAACCAAACACACAATAGTAATTGATTTCTATAATTTCATAAGTTTCACAATTGTAACTTTGAGCAGAGTACAGACTATAGAGTATAGACTGCGAGAATAACCCCAGAATCCACAAAATAATCCATTGTCAACAATTAACTTTGGCTTAAAACTGAACCAAACACACAACAGTAATTGATTTAAACTTCAAAAGTTTCACAAATGTAGCTCTGAGCAGAGTACAGACTATAGAGTGCGAGACTAACCCAAGGATCGACAAAATCGTCAACTTCACGGGCTTCAACTGCAGCCAATAACCTACAGGAATAGCCCCACGCAGCTCAATCACAGGAAGCGTAGCCAAGGCAAACACAACGGCCTCATCGGGCCAGCCCGAAGCCCGCAAAGCATTAGCAACCCTAAGCCCAAAACCCGAAGTCCGAATAGAGTCAGCAGCTGCAAGGGCCGCGGCTTTCGCGTCCTTCGAAAACGCATACAGACCAATGGACACCGACGCCCACAGCAAAACCCAGAATAGGAATTTCACGGGCTTTTCATCTGGGCCCGATAAAGACTCAACCTTTTCAACATTCTCAAAAAGTTCATCGGATGTGGCTCTTGTTACAGAGATTTGGGGACGATGTAGATGAGAGTGTGTGTGGAGCGAGTGAAAAGATTTTGAATTTATAGGGCTTCGTCCGTTTGGGAGCGAGGCAAAATGGGTTCTTGGAGATTGGAGTCTGAAATGGGACTTCACGTGAGAAAAAGTTGTTGGAATTGTAGATGGGCTTGATAAAATGGCCGCCATTGATGGGGGAAATCAGGTCTTAGAATGGTGAAGTATGCTTGAGCTGCGTTTCCATGTGCTTTTTTTGGCTTCGAAGGATTTTTTCTTTGGAAGATAATAATTTGCTCATAAAATGGGCGTGTGTGTGTTATATATCCTCTCAAAACAAACTTTTTTTTTATTAATTATATTAAATTTTGAAAATTTTGATATGATTGTTTTTTTTGTTAATTATAATTAATTCTAAAAGAGTTAGTATTATTATTAGTTAGTAGGATTTTAAGTTTATATTAAAAAAATATTTAAAATTATATAATTATTAATTTGATATAAAACTATGCGAAATATAATGTGAAGTAGTGGTTAGTTAAAATTATGTGAGTTGATTAACAATGAATTAAAGTTGATGTAACATGTAAGAATGATTGATTGTTATTATTTAATTATATTGATAAGATTGAAGATATTGAAGTTACGTTAATGTTAGTTAGATTTTGCATATAAATTGAGTATGAATAAAGAAAATTCACAGACAAACACACCCCTAGGGTGAGTTTTTATTTGCACTAATAAGCTACCACTTACCATCAACTTCTTTTTTAACGAGTCGACAAATGAATTTGAATTCATCTTAAAAGTAAGGGTGTAAAGTGTAAACACATATTCGATCTTAGGGTGGAGTCTATATTGAGTTGAGCATTAAGTTAATAAGGTGAGAATTGAGTTTGTGTTAGATTCATTTATCAATATTAACGAGTAGCCGAACATGAAATCTAATAAAACGAATCTATGAAAATACATAAAAAATTTATTTTAGTCTCTTAACTCAACGATCTCGGTTCACACTTGTTTAATTCAAGTCTTAAAGAGTCGACCTCTTGAACGTCACATTTTGCTTTAGTGTTCTATGTTGTACACCTTTGTGAACATAAGGCCTATCCGAATGAACTCAAATTACCACTCAAATTACCGCGCCCCAAATTTGTTCGAGCCCATGAAACAAGCAAAATCGGCCCAATAACAACATCTTGCCGATATCCTCAACAAGATAATTGCCAATCCCTTTGTGGAAGTTCATTGTCGATCTCTCTGCAGTGTATGAACATATGGTGATAATGGAATTGGTAAAACGATCGCTCAACCGATCTCATCGTGAAAAGCCGAAATGCATGTCACATCCTCAAAAGTCGGATTTTTACATGTCAACACGTGTCAACCTGACAACCACCTAGCTCTTAATGTGACAGGCATTGTGTTTTTAATTTTGTTGTTTATGAATGAGGTATTGAGTACCTCATACCGACAGAAACAAAGCCCAATACGAATTTCCTTTTGACGATCCGCCACACGACCGACAAATCGTGCGTGTTTATTTATTTTCCGCCTCTCTAGCACAATCTTGGTGCTGCTAAATTTCGTTCCTCTTACCAAACCACCATTAAATCACCCTTTTAGTCACAAAATCCACAATTATTAACGATCGATCTTCAACACTCTTTTTAGGTTATGTTTAGTAAAACTAGATGATAAACTAGCTTATAACTTTTAAATGAATTTCGAGCTTCTAGTTGATAACGTGTGACTTATGGCTTATAAACTAACTTATATGATAAAAGTGTACGGTAAAATTAACTGAGAAACTAGCTGAAATAAAATTCTTAATCATTTTATTTGAAAAGTAACCCAAGAAAGCTTACGGGACAAACGTGAGCTTTTAATCAAAATAAAAAAACTTGGCCTACAAAACAAACCTTATTTAAATACATGTAACTTATAAGATGATCAAATAAGTTATATATTTATTTATATGATTACCACACACAATCTTAATTACCGAAAAATAATGAGAAGATAATCAAAAAAGAAAAAGTTGGGGAAACCCTAATTCTCCTCCATGCAATTTATTCGCTCCTCAAGTGCCGATATCCTCTCCCACTCGATGTCGTCTCCGGTGAGGACGCAATTGACGTTTCATCAGCCGACGCTTCTCAGGCCTCATACGTCACACCACAAATGTACAGAAGCATAATTTATTTGTTTATGATAAGAGAATATTTCAAGAATATTCATTTGGCTTTGAAAATGAATTTTTCTATTGGAGATGGACTTGGTATAGTGAGTTGTTGTTACTTGTAAGTCAATAACAAGTCATCACTTACCACCAACTTTAAATATGTGATAAGAGGGAAGAAAACCCCTTGAAAAGGGGGAAATAAGGGCTTTGAAAGCCCGCTTTGAACTCCTAATGGAGCTAATTCTTGCTTTAACTGGCTTTAACCTATCCCCCGCGGAACACCTTGTCCCTCTCACCGGCACGGCAAGAGAGCGCTCCCTTTCGTTCACTGCCCCCGGACTCGTAAGCTCGGATGGTTGACCGGTAGCAGCGGAGTGCTGACCGGGGTTCCGAGTCCGTTAAGACGGCTGAGTTCTCACTAGGCCGACTGTGTTTTGTGCTTGCGAATCTTTATTCTCTCCTTTTGCGAGAATTTTGAAAATTATGGTATAGTTATTTGTTAGTGAGGTTCTGAATATATTAAAATAATATTTAAAAAAAAATCGATTTATTATATTAGTAGGAAACATATGATATGAAAAGATGATTTAAAATTATGTGAGTGAGTGAATGAATAATGAATTGATTAATGTGTAAAGATGAATAATTGAGATTATTTAATTATATTGATAATATTAAAGATATTGAAGTTGTGTTAAATTGAGTTAAATTTTAGTTAAAAAAAATGTTAAAAATTATTGACTTTTTTTTTTTTCTTTAAATCTTGTATCTAAGCATTCTCTAAATGATTCAAAATCAGCTTAAAAGTAAGGGTGTAAACAGATATATGAGTTATGCTCAAGTTTGTACTAAGCCGTGCATTAAGTTAACGAGCTGATAAACGAATTTGAGTTCAATTCGTTTATCAATAATAACCAGTGGTGGAACCTAAAACTTAATGAACCCAACTAAAGAAATTGCATAAAAAATATTTTTGCACCTTAATTAAACGATATCGATTTGACGTGTTTAATTCAAGCCTTAATGAGCCGAGCTCTCCAACCTCACATTTTGCTTTAATCCCCTACTTAAAAACCGAAAGAGTGGTGCTATATGTACAATCAAAATTGTACAATGAGTTTTACAATGAGGATATATCATGATAAATTCATGATCTTCATATCCAAATATGTATTGCGAATGTAGTTTCATTATATAATTTTTATCCCGAAGTTAATTGTTTCAACATACCGGATAAATTATCTATTCTATCTGACATATCAGCTAGAGATCGTTTCTCTGAGACTGATAATCTACTTGATTCTCCTATAATCAAAGAATTTTCTTTAATCTGCATAGGATTTTTATTTCCTATCACAGTTTTTCCTTTAGCTATATCAATAGCCCAGTGTTCTTCTAGAGGTGCTAATTCACAGAAGGTTTTTTCTTCTACTGAACCTATATCTGAAAAGATATCTTCTAGTTCAATATAAGATTTTTTCCTATAATCTATACTATGGTGACTATTACTCAAAGCATAGCTTATAACGTATGTAACACTAAAGACTTTATCTCCAGGGTTCATTAGATTTTCTCTTTCAAAGTGATGAATGAAAGATAATGTTCTATCTAAATTTGCAGTTTGAATAGACATGCCAAATTTAGGATAAACTGTGAAAATAAACTTACCATAAGCAAGGTTTCCCCTTGCTGCTCCTAAGATACAGTCTTTTCTGTCATTAATTCTATCATCGATTAATGCCATCTTTATAGGAGTATCAATCCCTTCTTGAAATTCAGCTTTAAGCAAAATTTTTATTGCTCCTAGATGAATTGTTGAAATTTTACTTCTTATAAGAGATGGAATTTTCTCTAGGTTTTTTCGTATTTCTGCTTTAGTAATTAAAGGCAGGTATACGGTTCCTTTAACATCTCTTATGTCTACATGCAATTCTTGCGTGTTAACAAAATAGAAAATTTCATTTTTTCTTTTTAAGAAATTTAACATTAGAATGTTAAAGACTTCTTCCTTTTTAAGATTTAACTTTGATTTTTGAATCTTAGTTAATACATCATGTTTTATTGCCAAACTGGCTTTTAAACCTTTTTCATTTTCATTAAATGAAATTTGTGATAGATCACTATTAGAACATAGATCTTGTTCTATATTCTTGTTTTCATTATCTGTATTGGAACTCATATTCCAAACAGGTTTTTTCTTTGATACCAGGCTCTGATACCAAGATTTTTAAACGGGCTGATTCCCGTGCGGAATTTATACAGGATATCAAAACAATCCATTTCAATTCATAAGAAGTGAGCTCTGCTGCTGTGCCTTCTTAATAGACTCTTTTAATGCGAGAATGACCGAGACCATTCTATTGACATTATCAACATAGCTTCTTATAGTTGCTAGTTTTATTTCTATAGGTGCAGAAATATAAGTTTGAATATAATCATTCAATTTTTGTTCTTCTTCATTTAAATCAGATGTTAACCGGATTATTTGTTTTCTTAGTGTTCTAAGACAATTTATATCTGAAAACACTACTCTTACTGGCGTATGCCATAAATTATTGTTTTCCATAGCAAGTTAGAGTTTTAACACTCAAAAAATCAATGAATTTAGGCAGCTCCCAAAGAGATGCTTATTTTTCTGCTTTCTTAATTGACTTCTTGGTAGAAGTAACTAAGCCATATAGACCATTTAGTCTGAAACCATAAGATTTTAGGATATTCATTTTACCCTCAGGTAATGCCCTGTTATACTCGAGTTCTTTTTCAAGTTGTAAGGCTTCAAGTCTTCGTTGATAAACTTCTAACAAAGTATGAAGATTTCTTAATTGTTTACGCTGATATCTCAAAGCGTTTCGTTCTTTATAAAGCATTTTCATTGGCAAATGCCAAAAATCATACCATTGTAAAAAATTCATAATTTTTTATTCAGAGAAATTGTTTTATCAAAAGATTTAATCTATTTTATGATTTTGAAAACCTTTTTTCAATGATTCTTGAAATTCCTTTATAAATTAAAATTCCTTTCCTAGAAACTTTAGACTGTTTCTCAGAGAGCTATTTAAGACATAACCACGATATTCAAAGGAACTTCTTATAAAATGTTTTATAGTTTGGATAAATGTTTACCTCTGTGTTTGATTTTGAATCTTTGTATCTGAATGATCGATTCCAAGCCTGCTCCACGGGTACTGTTTTCCCTTCTGGTACTTCTTCTTTCTGATTAGCAAATTGGCCTCCAGGATAAGATCTTTAGCACAAGTTCAAACAAACTGGATATTTTATTCAAACTTCAAACATTTTACAAGAGTCCTGATATGAATATTAATTATTCATTCAAGCCTCTGATTACAATCTCAAGTTCCTAAGAAGGAACCTTTCACTACTCACATATAGACATAGAATAAAGAAAGTTTTACAGAAATTCAAGCTAGACTCTGGACTAATTTTCTGATGTCCCTTATTGAAAATGTAACTCATCCTTTTATAGACTAAGGAATGAGGATCGATACAAGTGTTTATCGTCACTACTGACATATGCCATTAGTTGGCCTCCACTTTCTCACATGGCCTTGAGCCAATAATGTTGCTTAGCTGACCTCTCTCACATGGTTGATGAGTTGGATGATATTGACCCTGTCTGGGAATCTTTTTCTTCAGTCATCTTTTTTAAAGTGATTGGCTCCACCATAATTGTTGCTTGACAGCTTTCATTTGGACAGGTGTAGATGCTACCACGTGCTTCCTTATGTTTCTTAATCTTTTTACAGATCTTTGGATAATGAAATTCTTGAAGTAAACCTTTTTGGAAGGTGATAATCCTGATTTCATCTTCATTACTCATGATTTTTGGTGATTTTGAATATACCAAGTAATTTTTGTCTTGGTAATTCACAAACACTTTATCGTCCGAGTTAAACTCCATTGTTTTTTCCACTAGAGTTTCATATCGGTTAAGTCCAACATCGTCGAGGTTGACAGGTTGGAACGTTCTTGCTTCTGGTTTAATGAATTTTTCTCCAGAACTTACGCCTAGCATGATTAAATGTTTTGCTGGGATTACTTCGTCATTGAGCCAAATTGGTATCGAACTCATGATTTTTAGACAAATGTCCTTGTCGCCTTGGATGCATTTTTTCCTGTAGTTTTTTATTGCCTTAAGA